TCTGAGTCACAGCATTGTTTAATTATTGACTTGACTTATTCTCCACCGATTTCAAAAGTGCACATGCATTTTTTTAAAAACAGGCATAACCATTTTTGCCAGCCTCTTTTGATTGCGTAAGGGAGGCAAGTGCCATTGGGCCACAAACGACCATGGTAAAATTGCTGAAATTTGTAGGTTTGCGCAATACTGCCACCCCACCCCCACTACCCTGCAGGGTTGTGGGGAGGGGCAAACCTAGAAGAAGGAACAGAGGACCCCCTTTCATACAAAGGGTCCCAGGTTCAATCCTTGCCATCTTTAGGTAGGGCTCACCCTCTGAAACCCTGGAGCAGGGGTGTAGCGTTAGAGGGATGCTGGGGCAATCGCCCTGGACACATATGGGGGGGCGCACAGCTCCTGGCACCCTCCCCGAGCCAGCCCTGCACCACTTAGCAAGACCTTGTGGGGAGAGCCGCATGAGAGGGGCAGAGCAACTGTGCATCCTTCAGTTATAGCCTCAGATAAGACTGGGACCGAGGGGTGCACGGCTGCCTGCCGCGTTCCCACACTGCCCTCCCAGTACTGCCTTGCAAGGCTCGGATCCAGGCAGGGTGCCAACTGGAGAGCCGTGTCACTCCAGCAGTGATGGGGGCTGGCAGGCAAATCTAAAAAAAAAAGTAGTATAAACACTGACAAATCCTCCGGAAAAACAATCTCTCAAAGGACCTGTTGATGGCATTTTACCATTGTACCGTGGAGAGTGTATTAACTTATGGTCTGTGTGTGTGGTTTGGGAGCTGCACGGCCAGGGAAAAAACAATGCTGTCCAGGGTTGTAAAGACTGCAGAGAGAATAATTGGGTGCACTCTCCCTACCTTAGATCAAATCTATGCTGTCAGGTGCCATAAGAAAGCTGCAGAGATAGTGCAGGATAGTACGCACCCTGGAAATGATCTCTTTCAGCTTCTGCCTTCTGGAAGAAGGTATAGGGTTATAAAGACCAGGACTAGTCGCCTGAGAAACAGTTTCTACGCAAATGCAATTCTGGTTCTAAACACAGCATAAGGAGTCTCTATAGTATATTGTATTTTAAAATGGGGTTTCAGAGTTTTTAGCGGTTTTTGAATGTCTTATGTAGATTTTCAATGTCATTGTTCTGAATGGGACAATGACAATAAAGATATCATATTTGTATAACTGGGAAACACTGGCCTGCGAGCGCTCCAATTGGAGAACAGTCTTTACCAAAGGTGTCATGAGCTTTGAAGACACTCGAACTCAGATGAAAGGGGGAAACGTGCTAAGAAGAAGCACGTTGGCAAACCCTCACCGTGATCAACTCCTGCCCGGAGTTGTCCCCACCTACGGCCTCCACAGTTACTTACGGACTCATTGTTAAAACTGTGTTCATGGAAGACAATCTTACTCGACTACAAGTGATTGACAAAAAGGAAAGGTGGGGGCCGGGCAGGTGCAGTGGGCTCCATTTGTCCTTCACCCCTGGCATGGGCATGCACACACATCCCACCTGAGCGGCATGGAGACATACTCTGCCGCTGCCCTGGACAACTGCTGCCTATCAGCGTAAACAATACTGGACTGGATAGACCAGTGCTTTGACTTTGTATAAGGCATCTTCCTGTGTTCTCCCTAGTCAAGGAAGCTTAGCTCTTTGGTACACCCGAGCTTAGGGCAATGACACCAGCTGGGAGATGGCTTGAACGGAAGCAGAGGAAAACTCCGGTTGAATGCAATCGAACACTGGTGAGGTCTCATTATTGAGCCTACTCAGCCGCCCATGTGGTTGTACTGTGGCCAATGCTACCATTAGGCCAACGAGGCAGCCGGCTATGGTGCAGACCTCAGAGGGGTGCAATGCTGAACTAAGGGAGGCACAGTTTTATACAGATTAGTTTTTGTCATATCTTATGGATTTCTGACAATATTTTGAAGAATTTTATCATTTTTGGAGTAATTCGTACATGAGAATTGTTTTCTAGGTATATATAGCAATAGCTTGAAGACTTCCAAAGTCTATGCTGTCACAAGGAGTATACTTCTCTTCATACAACAAAAAAAACTCCTGTATAATTTGCCTAATGTTTCCGTTGCTCTAAGGATCCTTCTCACATTCTGGGGTCAGTGACAAGTGGTGAACGCCGTTTCTCAAAGCTCAAACTTATAAAAACTTACGCTCAACTATGTTGCAAAAGAGACTAGTTGAACATGACCAAACATCAATGCTTGACCTGAAGGAATCGGTGACAAAATTTGCAAAGGGAAAGTTACACAAAGTCAGATTTTGATGTGCCCGGAATTGAAACTTTAAAGAGACTTAAGAGATGTTTAAAGAGACATCACAGTTATCAAGCTTATTCGAAATGGTTTGCACGCTAAGACTTTTTCTTTTGTATTTGAGAAAGATGATCAAAGATTGTTGTATTGCTTATTCTTGTGATGCAAAATAAATTTAGTCACTTCCGTTGTTTAAAAATATGTTGATCGTCTTTTAACTGACTTCATTGAAAGTTGATTTGGTGTCCCCAAAGAAAAGCAGAATCTACTATATATTCCTTCTGGTTCTGATTTAATGCCACTATGGAGCTGGCGCCAAGAGAGAACTGCAGAGCTGTTCTTCCCAAAAGTAAAAGATTAACAGAAAATGTGCTAATGTGGTTGCTCCTGACGTTTTATCTCTTGGCAGCTGTCCTGGCACGTCAAAGGTTCTAGTAAATGGTAGGACACAGCTTGAGGCAGCGGCGGGGCAGGGGGGAGAATATTGCAGTCGTTCTTTTAATAGAAAGCCTGAGGAAATAAGCCCTAGAAACACATATAATACTCATTTACCATACCCGGCATTTGGGTAAGGGGATGGACTGGCAGCCAATGCATGCATGTTTCCTGTGCCACAGCTGGGCAATAACTTCGTCAGAAAAGAAGCTGTCTGCCAACTTCATGCATACTGAAAAGGAGTTGAAATAAACGTGCAAGAAACCGCTTTCGTACACCTATGCAAAATTCATAAATCTACTACGGACAAATTTGCCGCCCAACAGTTGTGGGGATTGAGCAGATGAGGTAGCCCAGAGCAGGCTCAAGCTGTCTGTGAGTACAACTTACCACCCAAATAATCAACATGTATGTATGCTGTTATTTGGCCCCATATCAACTGGTAATGTGCTGGGCAGGTGCTGGGCACTGGACTTTATTGGTGGTGCCACCACAGCTCTGGAACACCCTCCCCAGGGAGACCTATTGCACATGCTATTAGGTGAGCTGTCAACCTTTTTTTAGGAAGGCATTTGGTGTGCCTACGCTACTTTTTTATATTTTATTAAATGTCCTCACTCCCTCTAGTGTTAGGCAGCATGCTTCCTGAATGCTTTCCTGGATGTATTTGGGATCTCTGGGTTTTCAACCCTTTTGCCCCAGGTCTACAGATCAAAGGGAGGATGGCAGGAGGTCAGCTGAGCTAATTAAGAATGATACTCTTTTGAATCCCAAGCCGGAATTAAGATCGCTGGAAGAAATATCAACAACCTCAGATATAATAATAATAATAATAATAATAATAATTTATTATTTATACCCCGCCCATCTGGCTGAGTTTCCCCAGTCACTCTGGGCGGCTCCCAATATGCAGATGACACATCCTTGATGGCAGAAAGTGAGGAGGAATTAAAGAACCTTTTAATGAGGGTGAAAGAGGAGAGCGCAAAATATGGTCTGAAGCTCAACATCAAAAAAAACAAGATCATGGCCACTGGGTCCATCACCTCCTGGCAAATAGAAGGGGAAGAAATGGAGGCAGTGAGAGATTTTACTTTCTTAGGGTCCATGATCACTGCAGATGGTGACAGCAGTCACGAAATTAAAAGACGCCTGCTCCTTGGGAGAAAGGCGATGGCAAACCTAGACAGCATCTTAAAAAGCAGAGCCATCACCTTGCCAACAAAGGTCCGTGTAGTTAAAGCCATGGTTTTCCCAGTAGTGATGTATGGAAGTGAGAGCTGGACCATAAAGAAGGCTGACAGTGCAATCATATGCATGATGACTCAGAAGTAATCCCCACTGAGTTAAATCACTCCCAAGTAAGTGTGTTTAGAATTGCAGCCTAAACCGCATATTGTACACTAACTTACACAAATTCCTTTCCCTCTTCCTTTGCCTACCTATCCAACTAATGCACAGGTCCCAAGGAAAAGCCTTACACCAGAGATGGGGAATCCTTGGTGTGGGCAGGTTGGAAGACCTTACAGTGATGGCCAAACTTGGCCCTCCAGCTGTTTTGGGATTACAACTCCCATCATCCCTAGCTAACAGGACCAGTGGTCAGGGATGATGGGAATTGTAGTCCCAAAACAGCTGGCAGTTTTGTGGATTCAAAAGCTTTGGCTTTCAGATCGGATGTGATCTCAGGAATCAAAGACACCCTGAAAGGTGGCAGACAAGGCTAATGGGAAGCAAGTCATTAGATTTAGAGTTTAACTCTAATTTGTTCTTCTGCTCCATTGGGAATGTCCTGTGGGTTTGTTACCATTCTTACGTAAAACCTCCCCCCCCCCCTTATGAACTGCCTTTTCATCCTTTCTAGTAAACTTGCAATCTTGTTTCACAGAAGGTTTGTGGTCTACATTGATTATCACCTCATATCTATGTTTTTCAGCTGCAAAAAAAGGAAGTCCTTGGAAATAAAACCCACTGAATTAAACCGGGGTCTTCCAAGGAAACTGGCGCGCGTGCATTCCCCGCCTGCTACCTTGCGGGCAACAGTTACTCGGCGGCAAACATCATTTAATAAGCCTCGGAACAAATCCGTCCCGGCGCCCTTTGCAGGGTTACTCGGCCGCGGATCAGATTCACCTCTCAAGGACTTAACTTCCCAGGAAACACGCGCAAGTCGCGCCAAGTCATTTAGAAGCAAGTCTCAAAAGAAGGAGGGTTCGCTTCCCACTAGAACAGCAGCCCTGCCACGCGCGCCAAGCGCATCCAGCAGCAGCTGCCCTCGCGGACAGACGATGCGCGAGAAAAGCCTCTTTGCAGAGTTCCAAAAAGGGGGCGGGGAAAAGAACGGAGAAAGAAAGAAGGAAGGAAGGAAGCAGCGAACGAGCACCTCATTGGACAGCAGCCCCGACGGGAGCTCCTCCCTCTTTTCGGTTGGGGCTCGCTTCCTCATTGGCCAGCCGGACGAAGCGGACCCCCGCGAGCCCGGCAGCGAGTCAGAAATCGGTTGCCGGGCAGGGTGGGGCGTGGCCGGCCAATGGGCGAGAGGAGAGGTGCAGCGGTGGCGGTTGAAGGCGCTCGCGCAGGCGCGTCCGCGTTCTGTAGCAACGGCCGAGGAGGAGGAGGAGGAGCCACTGCTCTTGTTGTCGTCGCCGAGATCCGGCGGCGGCGGCGGCGGCCGTGGAGGAGGGCAGGTGGGTGGCGCCTCCTCCTCCTCCGCCTTTTCCCCTCCCAGCGCGCAAGCAGTTGCCCGTCGCCAGCCCCTCTGAGGGAAGCCTGGCTGGCTGGCTGGCTCGGGAGCCGGCGGCGCGGTGCCCCCAGCTGAGGGAGAGCGGCCGGGGTGGAGGGTCCCGGTCCTGGCCTCCGCCCTCCTTCAGGAGCCCCAGCAGGTGAGCGAGGCTGCTGCGGCTGAGGGGGAAGCGGTGGCAGCAGGAGGGCACGGCGTGGGGGGGGGGAAGGAGAGAGGGAGGACGAAGGCCTGAGGAGGGGGCGGCGGGGGAACCCGGGGGGGGGCAGATATATATATATATATATATATATATATATATATATATATATATATATATATATATATATATATATATATATATATATTGGGGGGGTATATATGTATATATGGGGGGGGGGTTAAAAAGGAGCCAGGGGAAACGGACTTCGGAAAGAGGGGGCAATTCTGGGGTGGGTTTTTCTTTTGCTGAGGTGGGGGCGAAGCCTCCTGACTGGGCTAACATAGAGGGCTGGATTGGGGCTGGTGGTGGGGAAGAGTGGGGGATTTGGGGTGAGTGCGTAGGATCTACGTAGGGGAATGAAAGGGTTGCGGGTTGGGTGGGGGAAGGTGGCAGCTGCACACACACACAAATACACCCCCCCCCCAATTGTGGGGCTGGGGTGTGGAGGGAAGCAGGACACATATTGGGGATGGGGGGATCTGGTAGGAAGTGGCGGAAGAAACAAGAGTTTTTGGGTGGGTGGGTGATGACTGGGAATTTGGGTTATAAATCGATAGGGCGGTTAATGTTGAGTTTTTTTGGGGGGGGCTGTTAAGACACGAAGGGTAGAGATGGGCGATGCAAGTGGAGTAGAAGGAATCTGGTCGTTAGGGTGCCCAAGGGGAGGATAGAGTGCTGGCTGGGGCTCAGGGTGTGTGTACCTAGATGTGTGGGGAAATTAGGTTCGTGGTGAGATGTGAACTGAGGAGTTGTGGGGCTGGCAGAGAAGATGAGGAGCTGCAGGCTTATGCCTCCTGGCTTGTCGAGGAGTCTTTCTAAATACAGCCCACTGTAGCTGCACCAGGGCAGAAAAAGGAAAAGGACCCCTGACCATTAGGTCCAGTCGTGGCCGACTCTGGGGTTGCGGTGCTCATCTTGCTTGGTTTGGGCTATTAGTGGTGCAGAATATATATATATATATATATATATATGCAGTACTGTGTATAGAGAATGGGATGGCGGGAGAGCAATGGGGAGAAGGGAGGAGATGTTGCTTGTGAGACCTGTCTGGTGGGTGAACACTACTGTTGGGGAATATCAGGAGCAAGTGGGAGGAGGAGAGGTGTTGGGAGCTGACTCAAGTTAATACCTGGATAATTGGGAGGGGGAGAGGTTGCTTTTAGCAGATTCCCTGTTTGTGGTGGGGTAAGTGGCTGGTGCTCCTTAGACATGAGACTGTATTGGGAGGGGGGAGGTGAACATTATAGATCAGTAAGAAGTTAGGGGATGGGGGGAGGTAGGGCATTGGGTAGGGGATTCTTGTGGAAAAGAGAAAACACCAAGAGTTGAAAAACTTGTTCAGTTAGAGTCAGGGTAATACCTGGGTATGGGGAGATTCTGTATTTGAGCTAGCTGAATAAGGCTGAGATGAAAATTTGTGAGAAAAAGATGGGCTATCATTTTATTTACTTATAAAAGTATTTCTCTACTGCCAGTTCATACAATACTATGTGGTGGTTAATGCTGGTACATATGTTTAGAGAGATGTTCTGAGGAGGGGATAATAAGTGCTTGGCTGGGGATTGAATTGATTCGGTTTTGAGCAAAGTGTTAGAGGTAAATTGATTAGAATTTATGAGTGGTGCTGAGAGTGACAGCACAATATTGCACTGTTGAACAGAGGTCATAGGTTTGGGGTGGTGGTCATGGAAAATAAGATAATTGTGTATGGACAAGGGAGGAATTTAGGAGAATCAGAGCAGGGTCTATTGTTCTAGAAGGAAGTGAGAGTCTAGATGGGTTATGTAAGAGTGCCAGTGTGGTATAGTGGCTAAGGGGCCAGAGTAGAAGCCAGATTCAAATCTCTATCCAGCAGTGAACATCACAGGATGATCTGGGGTCAGTCACTCTCAAACTAAAAAAAAAAAGACACCTCTCAAGTTTGTAGTGAGGATAAAATGGGAACTAGGTATGCCACACTGAGCTCTTTGGCAGAATGGCAAAATATAAATGGTGATGAATGAATGTTCTTAAGAATTTGGGAGACAACGTTTGGAGTGGGTTGTGAGGGGCATATGGAGTGGTTGATGTTTATGGTAACTGACCTGATCTTGGGAATGAGCTGGGGATAAGGAGAAAGAAGATGCATGGAAGAGGAATCATTGGAATAATTTCATGTAGGACTTGACAGGAGTTCACTCTGAGAAGTAGAAACTGGATGGTGGCAGGGGAGCTGTCTGTGAATGAAGGAGTATGTTGAAGAAGAGAATTGGGTGAGCAACTGGCACCTAGTTTTAAGAAATTAGGTCTGGCAGCTGCCTGCCTTGGATCAGGCTGGTTGAGTGTAGTCATTGAGCAAATCTAATAGGCATAGGGATGTGGGGTTGGTCACTATGGCCAAAAGCAGTATTGGTTGGTTGATTTTTTTTTTTTTGTCTGAACTAGTGGGGAATGATTGGCCTCAGTTTTAAACAGGTGGCAAGAAGTTACAGGCTAGCTAGTGTGGTTGGTAGGACAAAAGAAACCAATTTGTGGATGTGGGTACAGGTAGTATGAGTGAAAGATTTTTAGGCACTAGTAAGAACAGGATATGGTTGATAGTGTGGAGGAAAATGAGTCTGAATTATCAAGTAAGCTTCATACAAAGGTGATCAGTTAGAAGCTACACAGAGTGTGGGAGCTACCGGTAATTGGAAGCTAAATACTGGTAAGGGACTGGTTGGGAATGATGAAATGCACAACTTGAAACAGTCAGAGTTGGGGCATTTAGGAATCCCTAATATTTTTTCGCGGGACGCGGGTGGCGCTGTGGGTAAAACCTCAGCGCCTAGGGCTTGCCGATCGCATGGTTGGCGGTTCGAATCCCCGCGGCGGGGTGAGCTCCCGTCTTTCAGTCCCAGCTCCTGCCCACCTAGCAGTTCGAAACCACCCCTAAGTGCAAGTAGATAAATAGGTACCGCTTTATAGCGGGAAGGTAAACAGCGTTTCCGTGTGCTGCGCTGGTGCTGCCTCGCCAGAGCAGCTTCGTCACGCTGGCCACGTGACCCGGAAGTGTCTCCGGACAGCGCTGGCCCCCAGCCTCTTAAGTGAGATGGGCGCACAACCCTAGAGTCGGACACGACTGGCCCGTACGGGCAGGAGTACCTTTACCTTTTACCTTTAATATTTTTTCAGTTCTTGCAAGAATCAGGAAAAGGGGCGTTTACTGGAGCAGAATCTTAGAGCTGAAGGGAGGGACATACAGAAGCTGAGTGTAGACTAGAAGGAAGAATTGGTTATTGGGTCCAGTTAATGCCTATGTTTGAGGAGGACGTGTAAGGATTGTGCTGCACAGAAGAAAACACTATGTGAAATTGCAATTGTTGTGGTAGGAGCTGGATATAGTCAGAAGGATTAAGTTTGGGTGGAGCTTGTTCAAAACATAGTGCTCTCCTTCCCCCTCCCCCACCTTTGGAGGGCTAGAGATATAGAACTCATTCAGCCTGACGCTGAATATTGGCTCCATGTGAGGCAGCCTGGGAAGGGAGCTATCATTTGGACTGCTCTTAAGTTAAGGGAGAGGCTTGGATATGAGGGGGCTGACTGTGTATGTCACTTAGTATGAGGAGGCATCCAGTGTGAAGGGGGAGAAATGTGTGATTGGATGCAAGAAAGAGCAGGGTAGCTCAGGATTAGACATGTCCAAAGTGTAAGATTGATAGAGGATTTGAGAGTCTCCAAGGACTGCTTGGAATAAGAAGTATTCTTTTGGAAGGTGACAACAGAAGTACCATTTTATGGTAATAATAGGTCATATGGACCATATACCTCAAGGCAGGATTGGGGAGTTGACTATCTGTGTAGGGATTCCTCTTTGCCAAAAACAGTTTTGTGAGTAATTTAAAATGATTTTTTAACATTGCTGAGTTGTTAAGCTGGGTATAACTAGGTGCTAGGATAACACTGAGCCCTTATAGTGCTGGGTGAAACGTTTAGAGAGAAACTTCCTGTTAACACAGTTGTGAGTATTACAGTACTCCCACTCAGGAACTGGGGAGGCGTGAAAGAGTGCAATGAATTTGGGGCGGGGGCTGTTATTTGGCTACATAGCTGAGGTGTAGTGTTGCTCTCTGGAGAAGCTGCTTGGCAGCTTGGAGCAGAATTGGGATGAGGTTGTCTTTTTTGTTATAAATAGCCGCTGAAGGGAGAAAGAAGGAGACTGAAGGGAGAACTTCACCATCCAGCGAACACAAATGTTATTGCAAGCTCCTGTCTTGCTACTGTGGGAGGTTCAGGCAGCAGCTTCCAGGAAGTTCTGTCTGGTTTCTTTTTTGTGCACACTATGTGGAGGCTGCCTCCCTTGTGTCTTATTCTTATAGGAAATGAAATGCAAAGGGAGGAGAATCTCTCACTGCTCTAGTACCTTATTTCAGAATTTATGAACACATAACTGCATTAATGCTTGCTTTAAAAGAATACTCTAATTGCAGCTAACACTAAAGTGCTTTATATCTGTGCCATGTGTCTTGAGACTTCCTGAATTTCCTATAAAGAGCTAGGCTTTGATCTGATCTTAATCATTTATGTCTCTCACCAGCTTTGCTAGTAGTAGACATGATCAGTCATTTCTATTCACAAGAGTCATGACATTTATAGGTCTGACTTTTAACATTAACATAACTTGGTAAAATAAGCTTCAAAATATAGAGGATAGCTCAGCAAGGCAAATACAGCGGTACCTCGGGTTACAGACACTTCAGGTTACAGATGCTTCAGGTTACAGACTCCGTTAACCCAGAAATAGTACCTCGGGTTAAGAACTTTGCTTCAGGGTGAGAACAGAAATTGTGCGGCGGCGGCAGGAGGCCCCATTAGCTAAAGTGGTGCCTCAGGTTAAGAACAGTTTCAGGTTATGAATGGACCTCCAGAACGAATGAAGTTCTTAACCCGAGGTACCACTGTACAGTCAGCTTTGCCCATTCAGCTCTTATAACATGGTGTACAATATTTTGGGGTCAGCTCTTCATGCCTTTTGTGAGGATCCATGTGCAGGAAGCCATGGTCACCTCTTACCTATCTGGTACCAAGTACTTCAGTGTGGCACAGAGGGATTTTCTTGAGTGCTAGCTGTTATAAATTCAATACCATTTTAGGATTTCTGGAAATTGTGGTGTGGGGCTTGGCAGCAAATGATCCTGCAGTTTCCTCATTCGGTGGTTTCCTCATGTGAAGTCATCCGTGTTTCTTTTCTGTGTCTCTGTCTGCCTGTCTTTATAATTTTTCTAGACCGAAGTATAGTCTTGGTACAATTTTCATTTGGTCTGTCATTTCCACTCTCCTATGGAAAGAGAAAATCCAAGAGTCCACAGTTTAGGACTGACTACCTATTTTATTTATAAAAGTATTTGAATAACACAATCTCAAAAAATATCAGGGTGGTGTCATATAGTAGTGAGCAGCCTTTTGAGTATTGTTGGCTGGATAATAAGCAAAATAGCAAGAGGAGTTGAGAGGGAGTGGAGTGGGGGAGCTGGACATTATGGAAGACCCAAAGTCTGCATCAGCAGCATGTCCATTTTTCTGTCTTCTCTGCCCCCCCCCCCTCCTGTATTTTGCTTGACATCCAGCCTGTAAGAGAGTTTTGGAGAACTTGAAAATGGTGATAGTTTAATTGGTCCTAATAAAGGTATTACCTTACTGTGGCTTTTGATGATTTTTCTGGGGCCAATAGCCTTTGTTTCCTGGCATTCGCCTGAGTGGTACAAGTGTGCACACAGCTACCATAGTGAAACACAGTACAGAGCTACTGAGGGTGCATGTGCAGCCAGTAGCCTTTTAAGACTTGAAGAAAGTAGTGAGCAACTTGTACAACTGCCATAGTCTTGTGTTGTGTAAACCTAATGCAGTACTATAGCAGCTGTGCACATCTTTGATGCCGCTACAGTTCCTTGGCTCAGAAAGATACATGGAATCACCCTTGTTGATGGGGATACATTTCACTTGATAGCTTTTGTGGGGAAGAAGATGCAGAACAAGGGAGGCGCAATGGTGCAGCAGCCTCTGAGCAATTATATGCAAGTCTTACAAAAATCCATAAAGCAGTAAATTATAATTGGGATGTTGCAGCTAATTATTTGTTACATAATACCATAACCAAATGATTCTCTAATTTTTTCTTGAAGTTGGATCACTTGACTGAAAAAGGATTACTTCAGCTGTTATCAAAGTTGTGCTTAACCTCTGCTTTGAATGAGCCCTCTTCACACCATATCTGGAACATTCTGGCCTGAATTCACTTTTTCATTTTCAAGGGTAAGATTTTCTATATTTTAAAAATATTTTTATATTTAAAAAGCACCTAGTTACTTGGGATTGTCTGACATCACAAGGGATCCATCTTTGCAAACTAAAGGATAGTTCAGATGTTGCAATAAACGGAAGTTGAAATTTAACCAGCTACTCTTTCACTAGGAGAGTAACTTATCTTCTCCTGCTAATGGCCCCAGAACAATACTCTCCCCCTGCACTTTTTAATTCCTGCAAACACCAGTGTGAGTCAAGAGAAGGTGGGGAGTGGCTGAAAGCTATCCCTGAAACTAGCAGCATAAAAGAATTCCTCCAGTGTGACTATAAACCAAGAGGTAAGAGAGCAAGGGTTAATAACCAGCTTTTCCCAATTTGTAGCATTACCTGAATAGCTTTTACTTGTTTACCATTACGATTGCTAGGTTTTATGGCACAATAAAGATACAGAAGCTCTCCTTCAGACATTTTCAAATCTCTTCATTCTTGTTAGCCTTTTTTTAAAAAAAGGTTACATAGCACTAGCAGCGCTGTTTATTCCATTGTAGTGTTGCCTAAAGGCTTGGGAACATTTTAGACAAATTAAAAAAAAAAACAACTGTGTACCAACTGGTTAAATATATTTTGGTTGATTTGAGGAACAATTCCATACCTCAGTTATGCTGGCTGTGAGATGACACATTTTGGCAAAAGCCCTGCTACAGTAGCAGGACATGAAATATACCACTGTCGTGACAGATAATATCAACAGAATGTTCTGCCAGTAAATATATGGTAGTGGGATGGGCAAAACAAAGTGGAGTAGTGCGCAGAGGCAATGCTGGGGGAGTAGTCTGTGTTTATGCTGTATCCTGTACTCAGACCACGACTGTGCCCTTGTAATAATAATTTATTATTTATACTCCACCCATCTGGCTGGGTTTCCCCAGCCACTCTGGGCGGCTTCCAACAAAATGTTAAACTACAATGGTCTGTTAAACATGAAAAACTTCCCTAAGCAGGGCTGCCTTCAGATGTCTTCTAAAAGTCTGGCTGTTCTTCTGTTTGACATCTGGTGGGAGGGCATTCCACAGGGCGGGTGCCACTACCGAGAAGGCCCTCTGCCTGGTTCCCTGTAACTTGGTTTCTCACAGTGAGGGATCCGCCAGAAGGCCCTTGGCGCTGGACCTCAGTGTCCGGGCAGAACGATGGGGGTGGAGACGCTCCTTCAGGTATACTGGACTGAGGCTGTTTAGGGCTTTAAAGGTCAGCACCAACACTTTGAATTGTGCTCAGAAACGTACCGGGAGCCAGTGTAGATCTTTCAAGACCGGTGTTATGTGGTCTCGGCGACACAGTCTGCGGGCAGATAGGGTCTCAGTCTGCGTACCAGATGGAGCTGGTAAACAGCTGCCCTGGACACAGAATTGACCTGTGCCTCCATGGACAGCTGTGAGACCAAAATGACTCCCAGGCTGTGTACCTGTGTACCTTCAGGGCCACAGTTACCCCATTCAGGACCAGGGAGTTCTCCACACCTGCCCGCCTCCTTTCCCCCCACAACGGTACTTCTGTCTTGTCAGGATTCAACCTGTCTGTTAGCTGCCATCCATCCTCCAGCTGCCTCCAGACACTCACACAGGACCTTCACCACCTTCACTGGTTCTGATTTGAAAGAGATGATCTCTTCCTGCTCCTGCATGTAGGTGTTGAAAAGCATGGGGGAGAGGACAGAACCCTGAGGCACCCCACAAGTGAGAGCCCAGGGGTCTGAACACTCATCCCCCAACACCACTTTCTGAACATGGCCCAGGAGGAAGGAGCGGAACCTCTGTATAACAGTGCTCCCAGCTCCCAGCCCCTCTAGACGGTCCAGAAGGATGTTATGGTCAATGGTATCAAAAGCCGCTGAGAGGTCCAGCAGAACTAGGAAACAGCTCTCACCTTTATCCCTAGCCTGCCGGAGATCATCGACCAGTGTGACCAAGGCAGTTTCAGTCCTGTGATGAGCCCTGAATCCCGACTGGAAGAGATCCAAATGCTCCGCTTCTTCCAGGCATGCCTGGAGTTGTTCAGCAACCATTCGCTCAATCACCTTGCCCAAGAATAGAAGATTTGAGACTGGGCGATAGTTGGCCATATTGGCCAGGTCTAAAGATGTTTTTTTAAGAAGTGGTTTAATGACCGCCTCTTTCAGCAGGTCTGGGAAGGTTCCCTCACAGAGAGAAGCATTCACCACCACGCAAAGCCCATTGTCCAGCCCTTCCCAGCTAGCTTTTATAAGCCAGGATGGGCAAGGATCAAGGAGACAGGTGGTTGGTTGACCATTTGGCTTTACACCACCACCATAACTGGAGCAATTGATCTCCTCTACTAGTGGGGGACAAAGATAGCCATCAATGTTCAGTCCACTCACATTGCTGCAACCGAGCATAAAATATGGTGTAACTTGGTGCCCAACTGCAGCACACCAGTATGGGAAGCCCACAACTTGGATATTAGAGCATGGGGCCTATATCTCTCCAGCCCCATGTTGTACACACTATGGAGGGGGCACTTTAAATAAAATGGCAGCACTTCACAAAAAGCAGCCTGCCTGCAGAGCACTCAGTGGAGTTTGAGCATGTTGCAGTAATATTTCTGTCTAGAACCCCTACAGGTACCTTGCCATGGGACTTCACATGCAAACACTGCAACAGCAATTGTCATTCCACTGCAACTGGGAATACCAGGATAGAGTACCCAACACAGGTAAGCAAAGGAAAGGGGGAATCATGCTACATTGTCTTAATTGCTTAAACTGTCACCTATGCCCACACACTTTGCAATATGGGAATACTATGTCTTATCTAAGCTGTATTTTTCTAATGTGTCCCTCACAACAATGGGAAGCCATTTCCCCTATAGACAAGGGTGGTACTCATTGCCACACACAAGTTATCTATTGACAAAGGCAAGGCACTGCACTTTAGCTATTACTGTTGTTGGTCAAATACTCATGAGCACTCTTGTCTTGCAGGATCACAGCTCAGCTGCATGGAATAAATAAAGCTGTCACTATAGACACTGAGTTTCACTTCAATTCTAAATGGGTGTGTATATTCACAAGTACTGCACACACATTCAGGAACTATGTGCTCCAATTTCTGACTTTTCCTTATTGCTTTCTGTGTCTTCTCTTACTTTCCACAGGACAGTCTCCCACGTACAGGATACATCCCGCTCCCTGCTGTTTGCAGGTCATTAGAGACATCCATCTCATGAGCAACAGCAATGACCAGACTCCTGGTTTTTCCTCTGTAAGGTTGTTACAATCTACTTGCCTCAGAGAGGCTCCTGCATCACTGTAAGCTGACATACAGTTATGCAACAAGTGAAGAAGCTTCTAGCTTGGAGCTGGTGCCATAAGCAACAGTGTACTTCCTACCCTAACTGTCTGTTGAGCCAATTTCCAAGACCCAGGAGCCCTACTGGATTGACACCCCTACACTTGAATTTTTCTCGTTCAGGATATCGTCTATTCTGGATGCTATTCAATAAAAGCTATGACTTTGTGATGAGTGGTGTTTTTTTGTTGCTAGTGAGTAGGAGATAGGGATCACTTTGCCTTTCGTAGTATGACTGTGCTTCAGCTGACCTCAGAACATGACTCATGGGCGTGAGCATTTGATGGGCTTTCAGGGGCAGTGGTCCTCTATCCACTGCTTACTGACTCTAGTCTGGACTACAAGAGGCACACAAATGGAATGACTGCTGCTGTCAGAGTGTATGAGGCAGTCTCCTGTTATGGCTGAGTGGTTAGGACAGTATTCTGTGTTGCTTGCAAGTCTTTGGAGCTCCTCTCTTGCCCTTGACATGACTGGCTTTGGGAGGCATTCTCCCTTCTCCCCAGGGTGTCTTGAACATCCACCACCTGTTTCCCAACTTCTTGCCACTTGCAGTGAACCACTGGAAGTTGCTGCCTTCTGTGTCTATGGCCGTACTTGAGTGTCCAGTGTCCTCTTTTTGATGGCTAGGCAAAGGGTGTTTTCTTCCATGGGTGTGTCTCTGTTGTCTTCAGTTCAGAGCTCCCTGTCAGCGAACTATGTACCCTCTTTTCCTCTGTGCATATGTATTGTGCCAGTATCTGTGGACATCCTTGGAACTGGCACTATTTATGAACTGGGTTCTCCGAGTGACTTAAAATAAATACAAAACAAGATAATGAAAACTATTGCAGCAGGAAATAAAATAGTCATGACAAAACTCAGTGCAGCACCAAAGTTACATTTATCGTAACACTCCACAAATACCCCAAATATCTTTATTAAGACTCAATAGCCTGGGAAAAATCAGAGTCATTGGTAACTTTGTGACTGGGCGTGCTATGGAATCATTTTGTGTGTTGTGAAGTAGGGGTGTATTTCAGGGCCTTTCCTTACTATTGTGAGCTCATTGGCTGTTGCAGAGTGTAGACAACATGTGAGTATCATCTCTGGCGCACTTCCCGATTGGGTGAGCCTCTATTTGTCCATAGAGCTAACCATTTGTTGTCCTCTACCACACTGCTAAAGTCTTTTCTGAATCATTTTTTAAACTCATCAGAGGTCCAGTTGTGATATTCACCAACTCACCGCCATTCCCTTTCCATTTGAGCCAATAGTGAAAATTATTCTTCACCACTTGCAAGGGGCTGAGTGGCTTGGGCATTTATGTGAGGCCCATTCAAAAGGTGGAAAACCTGATAGAAGATGCAACCATCCTCTTCCAAGACTTCTAGGACTCACCCATAGCTGTTCCAGAGACACTGGTTTGTTTTTAAGTCTCATTTGGAAATAACCTTTGGTCTCTCATTTCAGTAGGATCCCAAGAAGTGTTGGGTCTGACCCTGATGGCATAAAAGTACTGTAATAGTAGTTCTTAGTGTTAAACATTCTTCTATGCACCTCTCACCTACGGCTTCAAGGAAAACATCCTCCCTGCATATGCAGGACTTGTTAATTGTTTACCTGTGACTTGAAATAAATCTTTTGCATCTTCTGCTTCAGATGGGCTGTTTCCTGTTGAACTCAAGATCTTGTAAACAACTTCTGAGCACAGCATATTGAAAGGGACAAAGCATAGAAATGGCATTCTGTGTTTTGATTGTATCCCTGCACCATAGGCCAGAATAAGAAACCTAAATGCTTATTGCTGCTACATTTAGTACCAATCATAGGTTTTCCAAACCAGTAACGTGGGTAACTTTCTTAAACCTACAACTAAATTTTTTTTAATAGGAGAAAATTATGGTTGAGCCACAAACTAGCCTATCCAGTAGTATGCACTTATTATTCATCCCTTGATACTGAAATGTGTCTGATCCATGCAGGCGTCTTTAGAAATTCTGAAGAAGGTGAGTGTTGGAGCTAGAGAGTAAGCTTCGACCAGAATTTTCCTAAGCCATTTTAAGCAAATATTTCAGTCTCCTTGGAACTGGCTAATACGGCGAGAATTCTGACCTACAGAATTGTTGTGGATAAGTGATCTAAAGTAGTAAATGGGAACCTGTGGCCCTCTAGAAGTTGGCTCCATTTCCACTCTTAGCCTCAGCAAGTATGACCAGTAGTCAGGCATGACAGGAGTTGTGTCCCTCCAGATGTTACTGGACAACAGCACCCAGATCTAATTCACCATATGACCTGAATAATGTAGTTCTGTTTCTGTGCCATCAATGAGGTGGATAAAGTAGGCTCCCGTAGTGTTATAAGCTGAGAGAGAGAGATACACACAAAAATGGTGTTCACACTCCTTAGACTGTGATGCTATTTCTTTGTCAAGTTGATTATTTGGATTTTAAATGTGGGGAAAGTATAATTAAAATGAATAATAAATAAAAATCTGAAATAAGACATTGGGTAGCTCTGTCCGACTGTTACAAACAATTGCTTGTAAATACTTTGGGAATTTGAAAATAATTTGAAATGTCTATTCATACTAACAAAGAATACTTATAACTAACCTGGAAGCTGCTGGTGTTGATCTCCTGTTTTGCCAAAGCTGTATAGTTTAGTAGAGTTGCATACATATTACTTAGAGTAGTAAGCTTACTTATCCAGAGTTACTGGCTGCTTTTTGGGGTGAATTTAAACAGTTAGGGGAGGTTTGTAATGTTTTGTAGTAACAAGAGAAAGCAAGGAATCTGAGTCCCCCATTGTGCTGAACATGGCAGGCTTTTCATTTCAGTTTGTATCCAAAGTTCAGAAACAGCAATTTGCTTTTCCAGCCAAGAATTGGCTTTGAACAGAGCCACAGGCAAGTGAAGCTGATTCTCTCCAGTCCCTCTTCCTTTATTGAAGTCTTGCAAGATGTTGGTTTTAGAAGTGGTTGCTTACTTTCCTTAACTGATCAGCTGAGAGCTGAATGACCAAAGTAAACACCTGTGATCAGCTACAACTGTGCCTGGAAAATAGAACAAGGAAGCAGTTTAGGAGCAGTGGTTCTTGGTGAAGTGCTTCATGAAAACAAGAGAGAATGAGGCCCTTTAAAAAAAGGGTAATGAATCGCTTTTGCTTTAAGTGCTTTCTTCTGCATAAAGAGTCGCCTTTGTCCTTGCTTCATGTGTTGGGAGAGGCAGCTGTTTCTCTGCAACAGTTGGTGCCTGTGTCAGGTGTCTGTCTCCCTTGAAGATGGTGGCTCAGGAATTGCATTGCTGCCACTTCAGAGTGAGGGGCTTAAGATTAACACTTCCAGTGGTTTAGAATGTTTCCAGTCCTGACAACATTCACCGGTTCTCTTGAGCTCCTGTGCACAGGTGGAGCTTTAGCTGTCAAAGGATGGACTTCCAATACCAGGCTGCAAGTACTTCAGCTTGCCAGTCAGAATGTTTCCTTTTCTTCCAGGGGTTCTTCTGACACCCCGCTGAGCCTATTTTGGAGGCCACGTGGGGAGGGAGGGAACCCCATTTGTGCAAGTGGAAGCTCTCATACAGGTTTTGCACTGAAAGCACTGATTAGGGGGATCCTACCCGAAGTCTTTCAGTTAACAACCTTTCCATTTGATAATAAGTGCTGTGCTCGCATGAAAAGATCTGCATTAACCAATTCACACAGTTGTGGTTACCATTCATGCTCCCTAAATCTCCTGTTGTGTCTGTACCAGACCAGTGTGTATCTTGTACACTCGCTGCCCCCCAATCTACATGTCCCGTGGTCTCCAAGGTGCTTCTGGTTTCTTTCTTGTGCCTTCTGCAAAAAGGGACAATTATGTAGTCAAGATGGTCAGGATTCATGGTATCGGGATGCATTTTGTGAGGTTTTAAGTGGTCTTTATGTGGCACTTTTGTGGAAAGATAGGGGAGCATCCCAGTAGATCAGTGCTGCATCTGAGCATCCTCAGATCTTGTCGGAGCTGCAGTGTTAGGGGAGGGTGGGTCCGCTTATTTTCCAAGCTGGACAAAACAGTAATTCAACATTTGTAATCTTAATAAGTTGTGTAAATATCCATGTACTTACTTACCTTTGCATATTTCTGCATTTGTTGGGAAGGGCACAGATCTGTGCAGAGGAGAGCAGCAGAACGTAATATTTTATGTATTTCAGGGAGGGAGAAGGGGTCCACTCGGTCATAGGAAAATCTTCATATGGTCGTCTTTAGTTTGGAAAATTTGCCTGGCTTGAACTGCAATGTGGAGCTGGCAACCGCTACTGTTAGCTGAGCAGCTGTTGGCTGAGCGCAGTACTGAGACGAAAGGGACGTTGGGAGGCCCTCTGCAGTGTGCAGGGTCTACAACATACTTACGTTCCAGCCTTAATCTGCCTTTCAATCTCAAATTTATGCATCCCCAACACCACCCCTTTCTGTGTGTGTGTGTTGAAGCAATTGAAGGATCTCCAAACGGTCCCCTACCAAAAGCAGATTTGCAAAGCCCAGATTTCACCGGTATCTATCTGCAGCAGCGCAAATGCCCAGTTAACTTGTTTTGGTCTTTCTGAATTCTCTCTTCTCTCCAGTACCAAACAAGGGACTGACATGATCCTTTTTCTTGAGTCCATGCCCCAAATTGTGGGAGGCTTGAGCACCACTCAGACCTTATTATTTCTAAAGCAGTTTTAAGCACTATCCAGAAAAGGAGATGCATTAATAAGACTGCCAATTCCTCATTTACATATTGACACATCAAATGATATTTCATACCAGTTGATGAGATTATCCATGAAACTTCATGCCACAGTAAACTTAGCCTTCAGTGTGCTCCCTTGCTAAGGCCAAGTGCTTCTGTGTGAGAAACCTACAGGCAGATGGTTTGGGATAGTAAGTGTTGTGAAACCCACATTGGCATGGATTTAGTGGTAGAGAAACAACTCAGCTAGTGCAGTGGAGGTTTCCTGGTGCCTCCCTCACATTACAGCCCCTTTACCCCTTGAAAAGCCACTCCTGAGGGGTCTGTAGCAGGATAGGGAAATTAAGAGAATTTAGTAGGGCTGCCTAATTGAAGTGCCTTTCTGCTTATGCAAAACATTTCTGGATTCAAACCATTATCTTCAGCTGCAGAAAGCAACCTTTTTGTGGCACTTTCAAGACTATATGATGCAGTGTGGCATAAGCTTTTATGGACTAAAGTTCTAGAGTCTCAACAAATATTTCTTTAACATACCACAACACACTTTGTTGTTTTGGTGCAACATAGCTACCTTTCTCAAATTTGCCATTTGCCTTAGGTACTTCAAAACCACATCCAAGTACGCCAGTGTGTGATCACGACATAAAATGATCTGCATGTGATTTCTTTCACAAAAGTGTTTTCTATGTAGAAAAGCCTTAATTGCTGCTCCCTTTTGGTATGGCACTTAAACTGAGAGTGTCCTAAGGAAGTTGGTTTGAGGAATCATGCTTTAGGTTTTTGTCGTTATGAAGTACAAATTCTGTGTTAGGTTTTGAGATACCCTCTTTACCTAGCTACATGCCCACAACCTCCCAATTCTTCCAAGATTGGAAGGGATCCTGATTAGAGTACTGTTTAAAGAGTCTTTCCTATGCTATTTTTTCCTCATTTTCATTTTAAAAAGCTCTTGTGCCAGATCTCCACACTACTACTGAAACTTGGCAATGTAAGGGTTCTGTGGGAACAGCTGTCAAAGGAGAAACACTGAGGAATTTAGTTGCCAGGGTGGTTGGTGTGCACACCCCTCGCTGGACTTTGATCTACGATTGCTGTAAGAACTGCTGTTTCCTGCCTGACTTCATTTGGGAAGATTTGGCAAGATCATTCCTCTCTCCCTCCCACCCAGCTTTCCTCGTTCTGAAGGACTTTCTTCTTACGAGCCAAGAGTTCTGCTTAAAAAGTCTCTCCCAAGCACCTCATTGTCTGGAATTTTGAGCAAAAGCACTTCTGCTTTGAAATACATTACATTGTTTATAGCCATGGGGAAGCTGTTGAATTTGTAACAGGAGCAGAGTAGCAAGTCTCCAACAGTTTCTCTGAGAGCTTTTTTTCTGTGTTTGCGAAGACTAAAAGTCTATCTTCCAAGTTGGGAGGGAAGAGGAGAGAGTATGGTCAAAATCAAAAAAAATTATTGGGAGAACCCAGCTTTCCTTCAGCGCTCAAACCAGCTTTTAGATCAAGCAGCCTAAAGTGAATACTGAAATCTCAATGTTTAAACCATTTTTTGCATGATTGGGGGAGGGGGCATTGGGAAAGAATCTTTAGTCTCTGAACGTTGCCACTGAAAACTCAACATTACGCTAAATTAAGGAAATCAAAATTCTCTGACCTGTTAAAATCATGAAGATTAAGCAAATGAGTGTTTTTCTTATTTACCTAATTTAATATGTAGTGTTTACTCTGCTGGTTTGGAGGAGGACTAAGGAGCAACATGGCCACTGAAGCCCCTCACTCTGATACCCGAATCATTAACTTGGGCTTCTAGAATTGCAACTAGACATTGCCCACATGCTTCCAAGCATATATTGGCAACTGTAAGGGCTAGAAATCTTGTGTTTACAAAATTAAAGCTGGGATTCTTGGGAAGTTGAGGTCAGCAGCTTTTCTTCATGCTTGTGGCAAGCTCTAGCTATCCTTGCATTTCCACCTCCAAACACAGCAATCTGTTAGCTCTATGAAGCAGTGATGGCCAAACTTGGCCCTCCAGCTGTTTTGGGACTACTATTCCCATCATCCCTGACCACTGGTCCTGTTAGCTAGGGATGATGGGAGTTGTAGTCCCAAAACAGCTGGAGGGCCAAGTATGGCCCATCACTGCTATGAAGAGATCTGCCACAGCACCCTTGTTGAACACAAGTCTGGCTTATGTCTGGAAACTCTACTATAACACCTGGACTTTGATGGTAAAAAAGGATATATAACACAAAAAAAACCTAGGAGTGTTGTTACAGCCGTATACTTGACTGTGTTATACCGCTCTGCAGTTTTATCATTGGTTTATGTTCTGTTTCAGGTTCATGTTGGGAAGAGGTCTGAAACGCAAGCTGAGTGATTATGAAGAGAACATGGCAGGTGTGTCAAGTGCCTTCGATTCCAGCCGAAACCTGCCATATCCACTCAAGAGGCAGCTGGTGCTCAATGTGTGCCTCACCAAACTACAGACCTACAAGATGCTGGCAGAGCCAAACCTGCACCGCTCTGTCCTTATCGCCAACACAGTCAGGCAAATCCAGGAGGAGATGAGGCAAGAAAATAGCCAGCAGTTCATTCATATGTGCAGTGGCTTCAGCACCAGCCCTTCCAGTTACCTGGGCTTGGATTTGTTTGGAATGCCATCACACATTTTCCCAGGTGTTCATCAGCAGGAGTCCAACGGTCATGAGCCACGGCCTGTGGAAGGCCCAATTGAAAACAACTTGCTGGTGGTTTCAGATAATGACATGTCATCTGCCATTTCATCTATTCTGAAAGACTTGGACTTCATGGAGGACGTGAGCCCACCTTCGTACCTGGCTGGATCTGGAGATGATCAGTTTAAGACTTCTGAAACTTCAGGCTTTCGGTTGGAAGATGACAGACAAGACTTGAAGGGAGTGGAATGTGCATTTGGTTCCTTCGAAATTTCAAGCTCAACTAGCTACTTGAAAGACTTGGCTATCGATGACATTTTTGAAGATATTGACACTTCGATGTACGATTCAGACTTTGACTGCCCCTCACTAACTCCTCCAAGAGCATCGCCTGTGGCACCCACAGAAGAGATATTGAAAACCTTCTCTTCTTGCAATTCCTCCTCAGCAAGCAACATCCCAATATGTAGAAGTGATCTCAGTGATTTGGACCATATCATGGAGATTCTTGTAGGGTCTTGATACTTTTTTAAAATCCAAAGATACTTTTTCCTGTGCTACCACCCTATGCTGGTTTGAAGAAAAAGCCACACAGAGAGAGGGATTGAACTGCAATGTGTTACGTTGGAATGGTAGTTAGACATTATCCTTAAGTGGTTCTCAAAACCTCTCCAAAACTTATATATAAACCAAAAAAAGTGGCAAGCTGTTATATAAAATGGAGTATTTATTAAACCAATTGTGCAATTTTTTTATCCTAGGGTAAATGCAAGGAATATGTCTCTTGCACCTTTCCCTAGTCCCACAAATCTCACTTTTTTAAATGTGCAATTTTTAATCTGTCCGAAAAATTTGCATAACAGTAATTTCCATAAGGGGAAAACATCTTCTAAAGTCTAATGATTCTATTTTTAATATAAAATGAGACGCTTTGTTGACATTCACTGGAGTTGCGTACTTGGATTTGCAACCTCAGTAAATACAAATATATTTTTAAAGTATTTAAAGGACTACAGGCCTCTTCCCTTTTGTTGAAGGAGCTTCAAGATGCTTGGCAGCAAAATGCCTTGCATTTTGTAAAGCATTTGAAACTATTTATTTTTGTAAAATTTTATAGTCTTTTTACATTTTACTACATTGCTCCATCATAGTTTAGAGATAACAAAAGAGGCACGGCAAAGCACTGATCTGGTTGGACGGAGCTGGCACTACCTCTCTAAGCAGCAATGCTGTAACTCTCTCCAGTGCTTTGTCTAAAACTGCAGATTTTTTGTTTTCTTGGATGGTGTTTGTGGCGGTATAAACAAGAAACTTCTCAGCGTCATAGCTGGCTTCGGAAATTTTATGGTATTTAATTATACACATTAACAAATGTAATTTATATGTAGATTATCCGATTTTAAACTTTGTCAGTATTATGTGCTTCAATTTGGGAGTAATATGGGTTTTTTAAATTTAGTATTTACTGTACAGGTAGAACTATTTTAACTCTTTGGAGAATATTGTATCTCTGCAACACGATTTCTAGATTTTATGTGCAATATACATCACTTAAGCAGAACATTTTTGCACACCTTGTATTCTTAAAGAAGTGCATCAAATCCAAATGGCAGGCACCAATTCAAGATACTAGAGGTGTCTGAAGTGTACTGTGTGCACTCTATGTCCTGGCAACTTTGTCCTGTAGGAGTGGGGCGGGACATGTCTAAGAGCACAGCTGTGGCCTAGCAAGATTCCTTTTTGTGGGAGGAGGGGTGTTGCTTTGTTCAAAATGCTAATCATAGATTGTATGCCTTTCATGATGGTTTTTACTCCTTTTTTTTTTTTTTTTGCATGAAAAATGCTAATAGCCTGCACTGTGCAAATCTTAGGATCACCCTATCAGAAGTTTAGGAATTTGCACAGCAGAGATCCTGATAAATTGCAGAAGCATATTTTGTCATATTGTAACATAGGCCTGCCATCAGCATCCAGTATGCATGAATGTGTCAGGATGCATGCACCTCCAGCAATGCCCACCAGGACTAAAGACTCTTCCAGCTTTTCTTTGGTGCCACTGAGCAGGCCTTTCCAGCAGTAGTGTTGTTGACTGATTATGGAAATTCATCAGATATCTGTACCCACCTCAATTTCTGCCCACTCCACCCATTCATCATACCTATCTAAGAACAGATGGCGTCAAAGTATCAAAAGCCAAAACCGGCCATCCTGTTTGTCATAGCTTCCAGACACATTTCTAAAGGCAGAGCAGATTGTATTAGAATTGGAAGACCCCCCCACACACACACACACAATAACTCTCAAATGTAATAGGCAATTCCTATTACATTTTTGGGAAACGGAGGCTGGCAGCCCTCTAGCACTGGTTGGAGCTGAGCTGCCACTTGGTTCCAGTAGGAGGTGCCCAAGCACCACAGGGAAAAGCAGGCCAAAGCAGCACCAGCCAACATCAGTTCCTTGCCCTGTTGTTCTAACCACACTTGACTTGCTGGAATCGTTGCTTCTCCCCTTCCCACCCAACTCCCATTGATGTTTTCCTAACCCCAGTATTGATATGACAATGGAAGAAGGTTTGTTCTGAGAGCATACTGGCTCAACAATGATGCATTTTGGGGATAAAAGGCTCCAGACTGGGGCAAGAACGTGGTTGTTAGTTATGGAACAACCAGCATCACGGTATGTCCCTAGCATAAATGCCTGAGGTTGTTCCACAGGTGACGTGGAGAAAATTATCCAGATGTGTCTCTATCAGTAATATTGCTATTGTCAACCTTGTTTTCTAACTATTTATTTTAACTCTCTTATTTTATTGTTCATGAGGAATCCATCAAGCTTCAGATTTTTTAATAATGGAAACAGAACCTTGTTTAATCTGAAAATAATTCAAATACTCTATCTTTGGTTCCAAATATTGGGCTATTTATTTAGTCCTGACTCTACTAATAATGGAACCAGATCCTGCAACTAATGCAGAATGAATCCTGTTTTGTTGCCCTAGTGCACAGCTTGGCAAGCAAAGTGTGTTTACATGCACAACCCATGCAAATAGATCTATACCACAGCAGCAGAACCTTCGGCAAAATGCTGTCCATCTTTGATGTAAAGGGATTTGGGTATAAAGAATGTACACAGATTGTGCAGAAATGCTTCTTTGTATGTATAAATATGAATCTTGAAAATGGTAAGGGCCTTCTGCACTGTGATGAAGCAGAATTGTGGTTAAAAGAATATTTTTTAAAATTTCTGTGATAATAAATATTTCATTCTAAGTTCTCATCTACAGAAGTAATTCTTGGTTAATTTGAATATTTGTGTGTACTTACAACTGTATTCCTGTTCGCCCTTAGTTTTCTACTGATACATAATGCCAGTAGGGCAAATGACCTGACTTGGGCATGAGAGGTCCCATTCCTAACCAAGAGATACTGACTTGCACTGTGAGCAGCACATTTTGTGGGTCTAACTACATGTTACAGATGTGTGAAGAAAGTGCTGTTTCGTAAAGAAACATGGCACTGAGGAGAGGACCACTACCATTTATCTGCTCCAGTTACCTCCAGCCACTTTTCCAGAGAAGGTTTTAGAGGTGCGTTAAACACATCACAAACTTCACAGAGAAAGCAGTTAGCTGGGCAGCAGTTTAGAGCACAGAAATGCCAGGTGGGTAGATAAGTATTGACTCTGCTGGTTCTCTGTGGGGCCCAGAGGGCTAAGTTGCTGTGTTGGCATGGAATGTTTATGAACATTCCATATGCTTGGCCCACAACCCGTCAGGATGTTTATAGTTCTTTGAGACACGGGTTAGTTGTCTGGCTGGGATTAGAAGCTCACATTGGCCCTAAAAACAGAGTATTTTTGTGTGGCTGAGGAAAGGAGGCAGGGAAACTCTGAGCCCAGAAGTGAGGTGGTTGGAGGAAAGGTACAGAATAAGCAATGAACAGGAAAGAATTTCAAGGGAGAAAAAGATGTGCAGAAACTTGCCTGAAAACCTGATTGTGGTCCAGGCTTAAGGTAGTTCTTATTTGTCTTTTTCAGTATTTTTAAACTGCCCCTTCATCTATGAAATATCAGGGAAATATACAAGAAAGATTAGGTAGTTGTGTGTATATGTGTGTTGTAAATTGATGAAAGACTGATAAAACTAAAAAGAAAAAAGACTAAATGATAACTGACTTTAAAATACATTAGCAAATATTTATGAGCAGGTGTTCAACTGATGGTAGCAATGGTGCCAGCTGTACTTTTATGGGTTTGGGTATGGAAATCTCAAGACACGGGGAGAGCTGCAGTTCACCAGGTAATTTTCTGAAGCTGGGCTTCCAGTGACAATGCTCATTCCAAGACTATCCCTCGCCACCAAGCTAAATTTATAGTCTTTCAAGGGGAGTGCAACCCATTTTGTACACCCAATTGCTGGACATAAGAACCACCTCCATGTTGTCAGATGCTTCAGCTTACTAGCTTACATCCAGCCCACTTTGCAAAACCAGGCACTGGTCTGAACAGCCCCATGCTGCCATGTTACTACAAACACTTTGATAGCCTCACCCAGCAGCTTCTTATAAAATATTTTAACTCAGATAGACTAAGGTAATGGGTGGTATACAAATACATCATGTGGACAGGATGGGACCCTGTAGCAATCAGAAGCATGGGCAGAAACCCTCCAATGCTTTCTCAAAGTGACCCTGTATATTGGGGGAGGGAAGGGGAAAAGGCATTTGTATGTCCACTAATGGCCATGGCTAGAGGCAAAAGTATGCAGAGCTGTAAATGTGCATTTTATGTGCCCCCACTTTTTTTTATTACATTAGACTGGTTCTTTCACACTTACACTTCCCTCCATATCCTCTATCCAGGCAAGGAAGAAGCATTGTCAGAGTTCAAGGATACATCCCAGCCAAGCAAAACAACTCAAGGGTGGTGTAAAACCATGTGGATAAGAGGTCTGGCTTAGGGGGAAAGCGTTGCATTTGTGATAAATGTCTATGCCTGGATGAGGCTTCAATCCCATGCAGCTGGCCTCAGCAGGATACTTCCCACACAACTGCTATAGAACCAACGCCTAACTCCTAGAATCTGATGGAGACTACTGGGTCATAAACGCCTACTCAACAAAGACAATTGGAATGGGGCCGTTTATTATTGCATAATAGAGTCGCAGGTCAGTCAGTTCCAGGTTCACATAGCAGGTGATGGGAAAGGCTCTGGGGTCTCTTGAGAGCCGCTAACAAACTTGTATAGACAGGGAAAGCTAGTTAGGTATGTCTAACATTGTATAAGGCAGTTTCTGAAGTACTTTAAATTCCACCCAAACATCTGAGTGAATAGCTTGTAGGGCAGCGTTAGAAGAAAACATTTAACAGCAGAACCTCTATATTGTGAATAGTTTATTAAAGGCAGAGTTACAAAACGTATCAGTGCAGATTTGTTCTTTATCAACTGGCCTGTAAGAGGCGTAATTTTTCCAACTTTAAGCTTTGTCATGTTACGGGCCCTCATGCCATGCTAACTGGGTGCACATGTTCTGCTCCACTCATTGTTAGTTAAGCAGCTTTAAACAAAGGCAACTGGACACTGAATTTGACCTATTGCTATTAAAGTAATAAGGACACATACACAAAAAAGTTTCTCCTAAACTGACAATAGTGCCCACTGAGTTTTATTCCAGAACTGAGAACACAACCTATAAAATGTTCTATAAGCTACACTTACATGTAGATTATGCTTTGTTCATACCGGCATTGACTGCAGTGCTGGGAAAGAGCCTTACCCGTCATCACTTGCCCTGACCCTTCAAGAGAAAATTCAGGACCAGCACCCATAATTAATGTCAGTGGATATGACAATAAGGCCTTCTAACATTTCATGGTTGTAAAACAGTTTCAGAATTTAAAATACGCTCAGTATAAAATAGAAGGAAGTAAACTTTCTCTTTCCGTGACAGAATGTTAAAAGTGTATCATAATTGCATGGGACAGAAGCAAGGTGAGCAATTGCTCTCGCTCTCTCTGCTCCCCACCCTGCCTTTTAGTCAGAGACAGACTCTCAAGTGCAATGCTTCCCAAAGTGGCAGTGCTGGAAGAAGTTACTCTTGACCTAATGTGGGACTGATGCTGCTAGGATGTAAATTATAAAGCATAGAGTGACACAGTGTAGCTAAGTGAGGGGAATGTTACAAGTAATATCAAGATGGGGGCATAAAATATCTAATTTAGGTTAAAAGAGGGCTGTTTCTTGAAGTTTGAGAAGTACTTCCTAGTTCCTGGACTCCTTTGTTCTAGTGCAACACTGTTCAAACCATTGGGGGTTTCTCAGAGAGGTAAAGTGGTACCTCGGATTACAGACTCTTCAGGTTACAAACTCCGCTAACCCGGCAATACCTCAGGTTGAGAACTTTACCTCAGGATGAGAACGCAAATTGTGCGCTGGCAGCATGGTGGCCCCATTAGCTAAAGTGGTGCTTCAGGTTAAGAACAGTTTCAGGTTAAGAGTGGACCTCCAGAATAAATTAAGTTCTTAACCCAAGGTACCAGTGTATACCAAACCAAAATACAAACTTTTCCCTTTGACATTAAAGTCACACTACTTCTGCAATGTGCAACTGAAGGAGACTTTGAGGGTTGTATGCAATCATGCTATTGATGTGCACACAAAACGATTTCCGCTCCCATAGCAGGGTCCTATCTCTATCTTCTCCTTAACATCTGCTCTGGAGAGGTGCCCCCCCAGAGCAAATTTTGGGGGTGTATGGGGAATACAGGTGGGAGTATAGGAAGGTGATGGAAGTTCCACCTGTGTAATAATTGAATTCCACACCAAATATGCTCTGAGTTGTTCAGCTCAAAAAAGGGCAACTATGCAACTCACATGGAGTGAGTGCAGTCTCTGAAACACTCCCAACCAGACTGTGTTGGGAATGACTAATCAAAGCCTGAAAGTCACTGCTTTAGTGTATGCTCCTTTTAAGATACATTGCAGAATTCTAGCAGAGGCCATAACATTTAAGGAGTTGAAAGGCCCTTAAAGGTTATTGGTGCAGTGCTATTATTAGAGGCCCATTCAACAAATATATTCAGGACTCAACCATTTTGGTTCATTCGTATCATGCAGAAGTATCCTGTCTTGGCATAGATGTTCAAGGATGTATTTATCTCTAATCCTAAAGGAGAAGGGTCAAGAGGGAAGGACAGTTGTTCAACAGTCTTCTGATGAGTTGCACAACAGGATGGTTCAGATGCAAACCAAGCAATATAGAGAAGTGTGGCTGATACTCAAGTTTGCCCATCTCCCCCAAAAGGCAATTCATAAACCAGTTATACTACTGGAGGCACAGGACTGCAAGTAGGGATAAATAAGAGAGAAGTTAGGACAACCTGTACAGTCTTGAGTTAACCACAGAAATAGCGAGCTGGAGAAACAAAGGTTAAAAGGCACACAAACAACACACATTTTAATTTGGGGGCATAGTTAAAAAAGTTTGACAAATGCCATTAATGCTTAAAAGATAATGGCAGGATTGAGTTAGCAGAGCACAACCCATCCTTTGTTTATAAAAGCTCAATTCTAGCTAGTTTACCATAAGATGTAACATGATTTGCCTGCAGTTCCTGGCAAAGGGACATAAAATCATAGAATTGTAGAGTTGGAAGGGACCAACCCAGTTCGTTTACTCACATCCCTGATGGTAGACTGAAATTAAATACACAGCTTAAGGTTTTATTTTCTTCCTCCTGAAGCTCTTCATTTTAAATTAATAATACAATATAAGCTTTTTTTTAAAAAAATGATCAAAACAACAGAAATATGTTGGTTATTAGCAAACATTGCTGCTGAACATTTTCATCTTTAGGCTTCGTGTAGTAAAAATCCTCTTCTTCTGTGGAACTGTGATATATTGCATATTTCCACCAGATGGGGTCTTCTTCAAGAAAAGGTTATAGGAAAAGAGATGGCTCTGTTTTGGAGCAGGAGATACAGAAAGCTGTGCAAAAAAACAAAGGAAAAAAGTAATGTGAGGGCCATTCACACATGACATGGGGGTGCAAACGGGGGTTGGCCAAAGGTGTATGGCAAGGTTTTGCAGCTAATTCAGGCTTATGTATATCAAGCAGATGGCATTTCGCTTATTTTGTCTTTCACAATTTCTACAATGGCAGTCTCAAGAATACAAGAAGCAGCTGGCTAGCAATAGTGGTATCCTAAAATTTCCCAGAAAACGGGACACAAATGTTAAGCAAGCCAGCTTCATAGTCCATAAGCAACATCTCTTAGACAAAGGAAAGGGAAAATACTAGCAGTGCACACACAAACATTCAGCAGACTGGATTCTTCAGAACTGTAGAAGGATAGGAGCTACAGATTTGGAATCTGAAACATTTCCCAAGTGACACCTTTCTCATCTCCCCACTGTTTTTGCCTTGTGGTTGGAGGCAGGGGACCACAATTTCTGGCTGGTGAAGCCAAACAGCATGGTTCTCATCTCTCCTGACAAGCATATCACTCCTGCAAGCATACAAATTTGGGTGGAGCCTTTGCAGAGTGGTGCCCAATAATCTTGCTCTGCCCTTTTGCAAGGGAAGGGCCAGTGGGCAGTGTACAAGGTTAGGTGCCACTGCAGAAGATGCTCTGAACACCTTACAGCAATGACATGCAACACCCAAATCCTTTCATGAAGAAGCACCAACAGAAAGAGTGGCTGTTCTAAGGTGTGTGTTTCTGCACCTTCCAGGAGTGGTGGCCAGTCTTCCTCACCTTTTCTGTCCCAGAGCAGGAAGGGTTGGCAAGCGTTTGTTTTATATTTTTGGTGGCTTGGCCCTGTGTGGCCAACACTCTCCTGGCAACTTAGAAACAAACCACAACTTTCTTCCCAACTTCAGAGCTAGGAGTGTGGTAGGGACTACTGCACTACTGCTGGGATGATCCTTGTCTCTGCCACTTCCATGTTCTAAGGGAGGCTGGCAGCAAAATAGTTGAGACCTGGTTATGGACTATGGGCTTGCCATAATTTCATGGGAGTGCTGAGAACTCACAAAATATGGTACTGGGTGCAGAATTCATCCCCCTGAAGATTTAAGCTTTCTTTCCCCCCATTTTTTTAAATTTTAAAAGCTTCTAATCCATATGGGCATGAAGACGCTTCTAAGTGTATAGACAGGGCCTAGGGACAAGTAAACAAGATTTGTGGAATGTTTGATTTCTCAGTGCCTTGCAGGTCTTCCTATGCCTAGCAAAAACAACAAGGAGGAATACATAGAATAATTGTACCGATCATAGAATTTAGAGTTTCAGGGTGCAGAATATTAATATTTGTAGGATGGTGTGGAAGAAGAGTAGAAGAAGAGTTTGGATTTGATATCCCGCTTTATCACTACCCGAAGGAGTGTGGACACTGCCCCATGTATTGGTTTCATATGACTTGGAACAGGGAACGTTTTGAGGAGATTTCCTCCAAGCAGCATCTACACACCAGAAAAATAGGCTACAAGACCCACCATTCAAGAAAAAGAAAAGGAAGAACTCCTCCACAAAATATAACTAGAATGGAGTTTTTTACAGTATCTTTGCCTTACATTTGTTCTTTAATGCCATTTTGCCTTCCTTCATGTCAACCAATGTTCCTTCAATCTCATGTCATAAAGAGCCCTGACACTGCTACCTTTGTGACATCTTTTTCCAGTAATGTACAACCCAAACCTCTGAATCACCAGCTACTTGAAAGACTGGTTTGGCACAATTACTCAATCCATAGCTTTTATGGCACCTGTCCCCTTCATGCTGTTTCACTATATACTGTTGGTATCTGACAGTTCTTTCCCTTTTTCCAAGGTGTTTGTCAATGCCTTTTAAATTAGCAATTGGTCCTCCTTAGTTGGCAAAGGACCATTTCTGAGGCCAGCAAACCACAACATTGTAGTTCCGGCAAAGGGTAGCTCAAATTGCCTAGCCAAGTTCACAGATCTTGTCAGGCTGCACTTGTACAACTACCCCTGTCTTCTGCTATTTGATTACTTAAAACCGAATGATCTGAAGCTCAGACCATCTGACTCCTAAGACAACATGATAACTGTGCATTGCACCTAGATTAAAGCAAGTAACAAGATAATGCAGCATGGCATGCTCTGATTCAGGGTTCTAGCCAGCCATGCCTTCTTGCAGGATACGCCATTTCATCCCTCCCCGCTTCCAATGGTGAGTCAGCATCCCAGGGCCAATCAAAATGCTCAGTCCTCATTGGGCTGTTCCCGTCTCAAAAATTGTTCCTTGGAGCTTACTAACACCTCCCCTCTTGTGCATGGTTGGTGGCATTTTGGCTACACACACTGATAATGAGTTTTGTTAGTATATAGGAACATCCCCAGAAATTTGCAAAACCAGACAGAGTTGAGAGACAAAGCTAAGCAGGTTGCATTAGAAAGTCACGGTATATGGACACAGGAAGATATATTACTAATCATGAGCTGTAAGTGAACATGATATTTAGGAAGATGACAGTGGGCTGGAAAGTTTCTTAAAATGACCTCTATCATACTAGTTGCAGCTCTGCTTATTTATTCCACCTGGTATTTTGCTAGACTTTACTAGGTTTGGTGCATCACCACACTGCAATTTGGTATGTGTTGGTCCAACAAGTAAGGATAACTACAGTCAGTGTGGCACAGCATGAATTGTGTTGTGCTTGGAATGAGCACATGTGGATTCCAATTACCATTAAGTCTATAAAGTTCCCCAGATAGCTTTGGAAATGTCACTCACCTCAACCTATCCTATACAGCTTTGCAAAGATACGAAGGGCAACCTGCATACACTAGCCAGGGCTCTTTAGAAGGATGGAATATGAATTGGCTAACTGAAATATGTGTAGTCCTGAACTAAGGAAATCTCTTGGACCATAATATAGACAAGCAAAACACCAACAGGCGGGTGACTGGTTGCATGGAACTTGTGCCAATTGCAAGGAGGATTAAGAGAAACATTGAAGATTACAGATACTTATTTGCAGTACACTAAACAGACTATACAAACAAATAAGAGTAATAGGATTATTTTCTATTCTCACCTTGGTTTGAATTAGTGCTTTACAAGTGCTAATGTTGAACTTGTCAACATTGGAATCTTCATTTTCGCTAATGCTAGTCTCCAAAATATCATTCTTGCCTTCTGGAACAGCCTAGTAAACAGAAATCACATGAGATGCTTACAGGTAATCCAGATTCTGCAAATCTATTTAGAAATGTTAACTTTTTCTTTACAGATCACCATCTTTTCTATTGGATCAAGCTGAAACTAAATAGATGCAACTGGAAGCCCCCAGACCTGGAGCCCAAAGTAATCTGATGCAGCAGAGACTGCTGCAAAACAAAAACAAAACAGCAAGTGAGTCTTAACTTCTAACTGCCACATTGTACTACTGCTTAGATGACCTTATCCAAGTTATAACACCATCACTTTCTGCAGATCCTCACTCTCTTGCTAGCAACGGCCAAGGATGTAATGTGGTGACAGGGAAAACACAGAACATCAAGATATGGGAAAACCTCCACTGTGAAGAAGGTGAATTCCATGTTATATAAATCCACTGTGCACTTGGAATACTGTGTACAATTCTGATTGACAAAAAAAAAAAAATACTGTAAAGCTGGAAAAGGTTAAGAAAAGGGCAATCAAAATGATAAAAGGGATAGAGCAACTCACCTATGTGGACAGGTTACATTTGGAGCTACTTAGTTTAGAAAGAAGGCCAGTACAGAGAGACATGTTCAGATGTGGCGGCACATATTCAGATTACACATTGTGTGGAGAAAGTGGATAGGGAGTGGACTGGGACACTAGAACCCAATGAAGTTGAATGTTGGAAGATTCAGGGAGGACAAAATATTTTTTTTCAAACAGTGAATAGTTAAACTCTGGAATTCGCTCCCACAAGAGGCAGTGATGGTCACCAACTTGAATGGCTTTTAAAAAGGATTAAAAAAATTCATGGAGGATACATTTGTCATGGCTACTAGCTTAGAAGTTGAAGGGAATCCTTTCCGGAAGTCCATTTGACTTCCAAAACCTTCAGAAGCCAAAGCGTGGCTTCCAATTGGCTGCAGGAAGTTCCTCCAGCCAATGGGAAGATGCGGAAGCCCCATCAGACGTTCGGCTTCCAAAAATAGTTCGCAAACTAGAACAGTCACTTCCGGGTTTGCGACATTTGGGAGTCAAAACTTCCAGGAACTAAGCTGTTCGACCTCCAAGGTATGACTGTATTCCCCATCACTTTCAGTGTGCTCCTGTATAGTAGCTGAAGGGAACTGCAAGCAGATCCTGCTTGAGTGCTTCCCATAGGCACCTGGTTGTCCAATGCAAGAACAAAATTATGGACTACATGAACCTTTGGTCTGATCCAGCAGGACACTTCTTCGACTCTCTCCTTGGCCAAACCCTCACAGGACACATTTTAGCTTGCATTCCTCACTTCTCCATTTGATGCTTGGGAAATGGAATCATTACGTTCCTGCTGTTTGAGCCAGTGCAAATGCTGCACTAATGAAAAGTTTTCTGGGGTTTTTATATATAGCACTTGGAAAGGACCTGGGATTGAGCCTAATTTCTACAAATTATATGTGAAAACCTGCACTAAAAACGGATTTACTCTTCCTCATTTTAGAAACCAAGCTGCCTAACACTTTCTTTGTTTAATGTTTCAAATGTGCCAGGATCCAGAGAGCCTCATGCGCTTTTGTACATTGACATGGAGAGGTTCACCAACTCCTCACCCCACTCCCAGCTGTTGCCTCCATTCCACATTGTACATTCTTTGGAGAGTCTCCAAATCTCTAGGGGGGCATCTCAGAAGATGGAAGACACAATGGACTGTTAAAGGGAAGAAAAAGTCCTGCAAAGCCCAAGCAAACACACAGTCCACCACATCTAGCCCTTTGGATCCTGGCCTCATTTACCAAGGGGCCAAAACTGCTTAGGAACACCATGATTTCTGGAAGAAATGTAAAGCCTCCCCTAATAATAGAGTCACTACTAATAATACAGATTCTGAATGAAAAAGAAGGTTTCATACTGCCCCCCCAAGCCCACCCTTGCAGTTCATATTTACAGTTCACACTTCATAACAGCAACAAATACAATCTTTTCCGTTGTTCTTAAAACATGCAGGGGTAAGCAACAAATTCAGAGCACCTCTGATGTCACTCATCTACGGCAGTCAGCGATGGTGAGAGGCCAGAATTGTGGAATGGGCATGGATGGAAGATGGGGTCAGATGCCCAGAGAAGGAACTGGGGGGAGAACTGGACTGCTTAATGGGCAGCGTGCAGAAGCAAAAGTTGGGAGAGGAGGGAGTAGGCTGGGGGAAAGAGGCAGGCCAGATATTTGAGGGGTCATTCATTACCTGTAGTTCAGAGCCCAAAAAAATGCAGGCCTTGTGTCAGCTTAACTGAGAGCAGGCCCAAATAAGTACTGCTGGCATCTCAGAAAAGGAGAAATAAAGTAAATTAAAAGTGACCCAAGTTCTTCTTATACAGATTAAAGTATACTTAAGATGGTATAATGCTTTTTAAAATTTTGTTTTTAAACATATTTCTCTAATTTTGAAAAGTGGATATTCCAACATGGCATGGCAATATCTTTCTTATGGACTGAACCAGTGCTCATTTAAATCAGCAAAAAACCTCTACACCTGACTCACAACCAGAACCCTTGCATACAAGTTCTGCTAACCACTCCATCATGGACATACAGTACATAGTCAAGGTATTTTCTAACATTATCAGTTAAAATATCAAGGTGCAATTTAAAGTGCCCAGTTATGCCACACCATACTTAATATTCATTGTGTAATATTTTTTATCATCTCTATAGCTAGTCAAATGTTTTCAGTAGAGTAACTCAATAACAAGCAACAGTTAATAGCATGGCTTCACAAATATACTCGCCAGATTACCAGTGGTATCCACTCCGCCCTCCCTCAAATTATGCAAAGAACTTGGGGTGGGAGTGTGGGGCTCATCTTACACTTTGCAGTGGCTCTGCAGAAAGCAGAAGCAGCATGAAAGATTTGTGCTACTTCTGCCAAAGAGAGAAAGCAGGGCCACCCAAGACATTTAGGCACCTGAGGCAAATTAGGAAATGGCATCTCCCTGTGAATCATCATTTGTTAAGGACCCCATATACATATACAGTGGTACCTCGCATTACATACGCTTCAGGTTACAGACTCCGCTAACCCAGAAATAGTACCTCGGGTTAAGAACTTTGCTTCAGGATGAGAACAGAAATCGTGCAGTGGCGATGCAGCGGCAGCAGAAGGCCACATTAGCTAAAGTGGTGCTTCAGGTTAAGAACAGTTTCAGGTTAAGAACAGACCTCCAGAACAAATTAAGTACTTAACCCGAGGTACCACTGTATGTATGTACACACCCTCTTCCCCCTCTCTGCAGATCGCCTTCTTTCATTCACATCTATTTTTGCACATTGCCTCCACTCTGTCCTTTTTGGAACGCACAATAGGGCTCCCAGGAAGGGGAGAAGAGGGGGAACTTGCCAGGTGGCTTTCCCTCCCCACTGCCTCACTCCCCGGGTAATGTTAGAAAATCACCCCAGCCTGCACAGTTTCTCCAAGCCATGGCCAACACCACCTAAGTCACCCAGGCAAGTAAATGGGGTCCTGCTAGCTGCCCTGCATTGTGTGAGTAGCTGTTCTTAGCTCCATAGGTTATCACTAGTTCTCCTACTAGCTCTTACCTAAGGAGACTACAATATCAAGAAGCCATTGCAAAAGGCTCATCAGGGATTCTGAAAGTTGCTGGGGGTTCTCTGATTGGTTGCAAACAAGGAGCTGGTCTTAAAGGCATAGATGTACTTTGTTTAATGAATGTTTTACTCAGGATGGGAGGGAGCTAGGTGAGTGGCACCCTGATCCAAATCTGGGTGGGTAGCAGGGGGTGAATCTGCTGCCCCTCTCAGCTCTCCAGACCTTGCTGCCCTGAAGCAATGGCCTCACCCTGCTTCATGGGTGGGCTGACCCTGAGAGACAAGATACCTTAACTTCTCCATCCACTGGTACATGTGAAGGGAGGAGAGGGAATCAGTTACAAATACAAATTATGGCAAATAAGGAAAACCAAAATTTGTAGAATCCCAAGTTTGGGAAATGCTATTTTTGTTTTCTCTGGTAACCTTAAGACCATGATATCTGTTAATCTTAAAAACAAAATGCCATGGTATTCTAGAAAATATTTCAGAAGAGTACCTTTTGATGAGCATCTATTCCAAGCACAGCTAGAAGGTTTTCGTGGTAATGAGATTTGTTCCAAGGACGTCTTAAACTGGAAGGGTTAGTGGATTGAGTAAGAGTTTTCCATAAGTTCCCAGAGTCAGTGCTTTAAAAGGAAATGCAATTCAGATTAATCCAAGATAACAAAACACATACCTCATAGCAAACCACGTTTTCTGCTTACAATTCAAAAGCAGTTCAAGTACAGCTGAAGAGAAGAAGCTAAACCTTTGTCACCCTATCAGAAGGATTATATATATGCATATGATTTTTATGTATACTGCTTAGACACTTGGGTAGTTAAGTAGTATATAAATATCTTAAATAAATAATATATTCCTAATCTTCCAATCACCATAGCAAGCCTTAGACACAGGCAGTTCTTTGCCCTGTACTCCATCTATAAAGTGGTAGCATTTTGTTCCAATAAAGGCAGATATTCTTTAACCTAAAGCAGATTTCACATATTTTGCTGAATAGTCTGTTCAAGGCCATTTTGATAATTATATGCCTTTTGGCGGCTTCACATACATGTTTTAAATTAATCATTATGACTGAAGCAGCAAGTGGTGACTTACATGTGTGAATGAGTTTAACATATCCTTTCAATGGAGTCAGTTTACACATTCAGCTATCAAGCATTGCTTCCCTCAGAGTGACGTGAATCAAGTACAGTACTGTATATGCATGTGTTTGCCAAATCTCAACACTAACTGTCCCAAAAGCCCCAAAGGGCTCATCTTTCAGACAGGAAAACGAAGAGTATTAGTGACTCTCTAAAGCAGAGTACACTACCGAGCTGGAATTTGAACTCAGATTTATTTATTTTTTAAATTATATCCTGCAGTTCTAGAAGTTTTGACGCTCAAGTCAGTGCAAAGCATGAATTAAAAAACAGTCTGCCAAAAAGATGAAACTATAACATCCAACCTGCAAACCCACCAAACAAATACCAAATGAGACACTCCAGACATCTTAAAATAATCTAAAGCAAATGTCAAGGCACAATATAGTTCCAAGTCCATCCCCAATGCTCAACTCTCAGGATTTGACTGAAGGCAATTGATTCAGCTGTCCAGCTGAGCCACTGATTATAGAACCACAGGAATCTAAGCAGCTACAGTAGCACAGGAACCGTTACTCATTCTACTTTGTAGCTAAAATGCATGCAGATGAATTCAGTAAATTGAATTTCTATTCCACTTACTGATTGTCAGCTTTTGGATGATTTATTTTAGTCCCATGATCAGTATAGTTAGCCAAAGTATAGGAGACTTTAAGATTACTACACTTCAAGGAAAGGAGGGTGAAAGTGGTGAATGGGGTGGAGGGGACAAGACTATTGGTCTTGTCTGCTCAATCCACTGGAGCCTATCTTCGCATGCATTATTGTCTATTTTGCAAATAAATGATTATGCTGAAATTATATTGATTCAATAAATGGTACATACGTAAGTTATTCTAACATTAAAATTGAAAGAATCCCACAGAAGTTGCTCTCTAGACGCATTAGGGAGAATCAACACAGTGGGCGGGGAGCTGTTACTGCCAAAACCAAAATAAGACATGTAGGAATAGGAAGCAATGAGGCAGTCAACAGGAATCCTGTTTTATCAAATGAACTCTCACTATTCCAAGCTACCAAAGTTCTAAATTTATGGTATATTCTTGTACCATCACCACATTTTCCAGCAACTTCGGAAGCCTTTCTGCCTTCCAGATACCAGTACATCCCAAATCCTTGCACTAGATACAAGAACAATTATTAAACAGTTACCAAAGTTGTTTCGTTGTACATTCAGGAATGTTTGTGTCTTCTGTTTTTGTATAAAGTACTTGATCCAAGCTGCTAATTTTCTCCAAGAACTGTGGTACAGGAACTTCTGGAAAACTCAGTTTAATAATATCTTCAGAGCCAAGGACAGCCTGGAGAAAGCAAGGTAATGATTGAGGCCAATGCTTTGCTGTTTTATACGACATACAGCATAATTTCCTGCATCCTCTGAAATATTCCTCCTTACTTCCTACCAGAGAGCTAAGTCATAAGGGGATTTCAGATACACTTGGACAACTCAACACTACACAATCCCAGGCCCAATCTATTATCCAGGATAGGGAAAATACTGTGATATTCTATTAGAGGGTAGCCAATGTAGTGCCTTCCAAATGTTGTTAGGATCCAGTGATATGGGAGGGGTTTCCAAAAAAAATTGTTTTTGTTTTAGTGCTTAACTTTTTTGTGGAAAAGTTTCCATTTCATAAGTTTACTAGTGTTGGAAGCACCACACTGGCTACCCCAACTCTAATGTCCTGAACAAACCCATGCAAGACTGGAGGCTCCCACCTCTGTGTAACTATTCGGGTCTTACAGTCATTCTTACAATGCTGTAGAAAAACTTAAGAAGTTTCAGTCTTATCTAATGATCACCTCTATGCACAACATCCTCAACTCATTGCACCATCTTGGAGGTCCCCCATCTTTTGTACAGACATCTATGGTGATTTTTTTTAATCAACATGTCTATGTACTCAATTAATCACTGCCATTTTATTATTTTTATTCTTTAATAATAGACAATACAAAGGAGGAAAAATGTGTTGGAATGACAATTAGAGGAGGGAAAGCTATAAATATCTCATTTGAAATGTATTGATAATGGGTGTTAACACACTCCCATTTAATTCACTGATGACTCTACATCCAATGGGATGATATAATGGTTGCCCAAACAAAAATCCCAGAGGCCACCACAATCAATAAGATTAAACAGCCAGTGGGCAAGTAAGTTAGAGGGCTACATGGGTAATGGAGAAGCAAAAGTGCTCCAGGAAGCAGAAGCAGCTGCCACCAAGGAAACAAAACCGAACAGCAATCATAGGCAAGGAGAGAATTGGCGGGGGAGGTTGCCAAATGAACAGTAAATATTAAAACCGAGGACTATTCAACAGAAGTCTACTTATAACAGCAGTTGTAATGTCACAAGGGAAAAATTTGTGACAGCTGAAGGTATGTGCTCCTTACTCACTTGCATGACTCTTACTCATGTAAGTAAGCTCATTGGAATTCACACAGTGCCTTATTCTTCTTAAAAGGGTACCTGTGTGACTAAGGATTAGGTAATCATAAACGGGAGCTGCAACAAACAGAGTGCTGCTGTTCAGGATGCCAGCTATGTCTTATTCTAGAATTCTCCATTCCACCTCCAGTCTGTTAGCTTTTCATGGCCACTGAGCAAGCTCAGTTTTCACTGGGCCATTTTGGGGGTTTTCCCCTGACTTAGGACTTTCCTGCCCATACATTTTCGTTTATTGGCACTTCTGCAAACCTTTGGGCTTTCCCAAGCCTGCTGGTATATTGCACTTGTATTGTGATGATGTTCTTTTAGCTACGTAACAGCCTCAGCATAAAAAATGGAGGGAATGGTAGTTTTGTTGAATATCAAAATGGTTTCCATTATATGAAGATCTATTTAATATTTAAAAGTTCTTAACATTTTGAGTTGCAACAAAATACTAAACAAGAGTCAATTTCACAAGTTTCATTCACAGTTAGACGAAGAATGCAAAATTCAATAGACCAAAACTGATTGTTGCACAGAAACATAATGCTTGTACTGGGAGATGGTAGCAACAAAACAGGAAAAGGGAGCCATTTGAAGAATGCATCTGTTTAAAATATATTTCTACCTTTATCATATTCAGTTGTGCTATGTTTACCATATAGCAAAATTAAAAAAGAAAGTGAACTGATGTTGCCATCAGTTCCTTACTGCATTTAATGAAGCAATGTGTTTTAGTTCCGTGTTGCCAAATATTTAAAGGTGACACCATGGAAACTAACAAAATGTATAGCATTCTTAGACAGGACAGAACAGGACTCTGAAAAGGAGGTGGATCATTCTTAACTTATTAAAACATACCTTCACTGAAGTGTTAGCAAATGTTTCTTTTCTGTTGTGTCCAGTTGTTTTGGAAAAGACCTGTCTGCATGAGGTAGTGAGGCAGCTGTCACTGACATCCGCATCATTTGTGTAAGTTTGTTTTCCATTTGGCTTCTCTAAAGACTCCAAGGTGTTGCTTAAATTTTCCTGCTTGACCTCACTGAAACCTTCAAAGTCACCCCAAGTACTGCTGGATTCCACCAAGCTGGTGTCAGGACTCTCCAGCGATGCTTCATAAACCCTTTTGTCACCACACTCGACAGGAAGGCTTTTCTGAATCATTTCCAGTTCTGAGCTTTCATCAAAATTTCCATTTTGGTTTAGACAATGTACATCAGTTCCACTGCTGTTTTCACTGAGAGAGGTGGCACCCGTCTCTGCTGACAGAGGTTTCAAAATTGACTGGCTTGAAACTTCCGCACCACTATGTATTTCCACTAAATTCTGGTCTTGCATTTTTCTGTTATCACAACAATAAAATTCATGAACATCAACCAAAAAACATGGCTGATAGCAAAAGACAAAACCGTTAATGTTTCAAAAACATAATGGGTACTTCATTGTGCCTTGAATAGCTTGCAAAAATGTAGCTTAGCAAAACAGTGTGTCCTTCAAGGTCTCCCTAAGTCATCAATGCAGTGCTTGTTTTTCAGTCTTAACTTGCTTCTCAATCCAGATTTCAGGCTGCAAAAAAAGGGTTATAAATAAAGACCTTTCTGATAATGCTGTGTGTAAGGCTTACAAAAGATAAACGATTAGGCAAGAAAAACGTTCATGCTTGGACAAATACATTCCAATGCAATGCAGTGAATTCTTGCAAGAACAGAAACATAACAAAAAGATTAGCCCGGCTGAATTTTTACCTACAGCGACTGGGATTTGTGTTTCTCCAATAGCAGCCTCTTGTGTGACATGGTGAGCTGCTTTCAAAACTGAGGTCTTTCAACACACTTTGTACCATGTGATTCACTGAGCCACCTATGAACACTACAAATCCGAAGGGGCTTAATCATATTTCCATCTCAGCAGGAAACACTGGAAATGTAGTGGAGGGAGATAAGAATCTCTAACATAACTGTGAGCACCTTAAACTATAATTTCCTGGATTTTTGGGAAGAGGGGGAGAAACAATTGTTAGAACATGTTATAAAACTGATATGTTTGAATGAAAAATACACCTGTCTTCAATAATTTTTCATTATTCAAGTAAAAAACCTTTATCATATGCTCCTAAAGATATTTTAAACTAGCTTAAGAAACCTGCATAGGAAAGATGCACAGGGCAAACCTATACATGTTTACTCAGAAATAAGCCCCCCCCATACTCAGTGGGATTTACTTCAGATAAGTGTATACAGGATTGGACCCCAAGCCACAGCACAATAGGCTATTTTCCTGCCTAAAGATATTCCCATATCTCACTAAATAAACCTTGTAAAACAGATTCTCTACAGCCTTACGCTCCTTAAAAGCTAGCCTTCCTCAAATAAAACCCCTCTAACAAGTTGGGAAACATTGTTGAGTAAGGTGCACCCAACAGGGGAACTGCTTGGTGTTTAAAAATATAATTCTAGGCTTGCAAATGATAAAATAAGGTGACTGAAATCTGCAGAACTAGCAGCATACTCTTTGGCAGATGTGGTTTTTAATGTCAATGCTTTGGGGTTTTTGGTTCCTCTTTGTATTTTCACACAGTCTGCAACTACACAAACCAAAATGAAATAAATGTTGGGGAAAGACCCCCCCTCCCAACTCAAGAAGCAATATGCTGGGGACCATTATGTTCTCTTTGCATGAATAAGAGCATTCAGCTATACTGTGGAGTTAGGTTGTCTCACTGTGGAACTAGGGGTTTTTTTCTCTTGTTGGTGAAACTATTCTTGTTTCTGAGACCGATATTTACAGCTCATAATTCAGAAAGAAGTTACCACAAGTTGCAAGTAGGTGACTTCTCCCCTTTCTCCACTGATAGAGCAAGCAGACATTATTATTAGAAGATGATGTCACCTTTTCCCAGCCGTAACCCTGGGAATAATTTGTAGTGGAATCTATGGGATAATTTGATGCCAATCTGTGCAGGCTTATCACTGTATTTTTGGTCTACTGTAGATATCACTATTCTCCTGTTGCTGACAGAATGAGAAATGGAGGGAATGAGATGCTAACCTATAGAATCAGATTAAATGGCTAACACAATTCAAGCTTCCAAGTCACCTCTGATTTCAGAAAATTGTGGGGAGGAGCTCAGTGTTGCAGCACCTATTTATAATTGGTGATGCCGGAGATCAAGGCTAACAACCTTTTGCAAGAGAAGTATTTGCAGGAGAGCTGAGCTGAAATTTTCTCTCAGAAAATCTGAGAATCTTTTATTTTTTGCCTTGGGGGGGGGGGGCTGAAGAAAAAGAACAGAGGGCCATTTTGCCAAATATTCTCCACCATTTTCCTTCCAGAATGCCCTACAATGACACTTGATCTTGGGATCAGTGGAGAATGCAAAATGGTTGCCTGGCTGCCGACACAGTTGCTCCTGGCAGCAGTACCAAAAAGAACCTTAGGTAAAAAGAAAAAAAAGTCATGTCACTACTAACTGTTGGAGAAGTTCTCTTCTGCCCTTGAATATTCAGCAAAATTATTCCCCCATCCCTCACCCCCATTTCACCACCCATGAATAGGGTACAGATTTTAGAAGGCCATTGTTGCTCAGCTCTAATTTCAGGAATCAAGCTTGTGGAAGAACTCTCTGCAAAACCGTGGAGAGCCTTTGCCAGTGAGGAGTAGACTAGCACTGTAAGGCTAGATGAACTAACTTAAAGGGAGATTTGAGGGTTCATAGAGTTTAGTGCACAAGGCTGGAAATTAATAGGCATAGTCAACCAGCTTGTTAACAATGAATGTATGCAGACTCCTAGGAATTTGAAAGATTGTTTCCAACCTAGGTGTTAAACATTCCTGTTTGTTGCCTTTAACTGCAGGAAGCAACACATTACATTTTGAGGCAAGACTTTTTCTGGCATTTATATTTGGAGGTGCTAACAACAGCGGATTAAATAAAATAGGGCATC